AATAAAAATTACAATGCGCAAATCTCCAAATGAAATGGGCAATTGCCCATTTGCTGCCCCCCCCTCCCTGGATACGCTGCTGCTACCAGACTTGTGGGATCAAGAACATGAAGAAGATAGCGAAGAAGATCGCGAAATCTCACGATAAACATTTCAAGGGTAATGAAAACTCACACCGTTACAATAAAACAACAGACACACGTTAGGTCAAGATATAATAGGGAGTATAAAGTAATATTTTCACTTATTCCTTTTTTTTGTTTTGTTGTTCATCTTTAATCTTATCTTATGTACATTCATTTATGTTATTATTTTACTGGTATCGTAGTCATTTTAGGCGGTATTCAAGGCTTTTCGAATTCAAATAAGACTTTTAGTCATAAACTAAATACAGATTCGGTATCAGCACAAAACACTGAATCGACTGAACTGTATTTCAAGTCAATTTGACAACTTTCATCTTTTGACCTGTATACAACAATTGCAACTCTACGACGATACCTGAAAAAATGAGCAAAAATGAAAGTTGACAAATTGACTTGAAATATACTTCAGTCGATTCAGTGTTTTGTGCTGATACTGAATCTGTATTTAGTTTATGACTAAAAGTCTTATTTGAATTCGAAAAACCTTGAATACCGCCTAAAATGACTATGATACCAGTAAAAACGATTTTTCTCAACACAGGAAAGAAAAGATAGAAAAAGGATACGTAACTTTGTAACTGGCGGTATGATGAGTCGAATGAGATAAAATATTTGCCTTTATCACTTACGTAGAAAAACTACATAGGTTTACAAAATCGACCTATATGTGGTGCACTGGACGCGATTCGAAGCGCCACCACCAGTAGAGTTTTGGGTCTACGGTCATTTTAGCAACGTCTCGGTACTCAGTTTTTGATGCTGAATCTGAAAAAATTAGTTTCAGAAACTGGAAAAAAAAAAGTAGAAAATTTTGCACATTTCGAAAAAGATGTGATTTTCTCGAAAAACGACATCTCTCAAGTATTTCGTATTTTTCGACCGGAAGGAAGCATTTGCTATGGCTAAAACGTAGATTTTCGTGATCAGCAGCTCACGCTCTATCTAATGGTCTAAAAAAAGGCGAAAAAACTGTTTACTCGAATTTCGCATTGCCTGCTATGTATGTACGTCCGTCACACTCACTAGTCACTATATGTATGTACGTTCGTCACCGTGTGTGCTTACGTCCGTCACACCTCTGTACGGACAAACACACACACACACAAACACTTTTACTTTTTCGTATGACCGATTTTTTTTCTTATGACCATAGGCTTACAGTCAATGGAATAAAGGGGTATCCTTCTTACATGGCAATAATATGGTCACTGCCTTGAGCGGACCATCTGATCGTTCACCAGAGTTTTTATTGATCAAATAAGACCAAGCAGAAATATATACGGTCTTACTACAGTACAAGAATAGAATTTTAAATTTACGTCGGACAATATGAACAGCAATCTAATTTCAAATAATAATTCATAATGTTTTAGGAATGTTGATGTTATAACGTAACGTCTCAACTGAGATACAATCCATATTTCAATCAAGTATCTCAGTTGAGGAACCATTATTCTACTAAAATATTCGTTTCTCAACTGAGATACTTGATTAAAATATGGATTGTATCTTAGTTGAGTCCAAACCTGTTATAAGATGAACTATATTAGGCTCATTAGAGCATTGAATTTTTTATGATTATCTTTCGAGATACGAAAAAGAAACATCGTATCTAAAGAAAAAGCCGAAGTTCACAGAAAACCTGTAACTTGCTCAGCTCGGCTTTGGGCATTTTTCTACGGAAAAAATTTTCAAGTAATTGATTGTTACTTGACTTGATTGGAGAAAATTTTTGATGACTTGACTTGTGACTTGGAAAATCCGTGACTCGCCCAGCTCTGATCTCAATTCTACAAATACCAACGTTTGAGATTTGCTGGAGCGAAAACATTTGTAAAAAGTAGTTTGATCCAAAAGCTCTGAAATTTTATAGACAGGTAGAGTCGAAGAAGAAGATTTCACACATGTGGTTTCACTGTTCAGAAGTGTGTAGAAGCAGATCTAACTTCAGTCCAAAAATTATTGTCATACTAACTCCGTTATTCTATTCATTTAATATTTGAAGTATTTGACTATTTTTCGCTTCTCTTCGATTTTTACTTTACGTACATAATGGAATAACGCCTACTGATAAGGTCATAGATAACAGTATTTTAAACTCAATATTTGACAAGACTGTTTCAAAAAAGGATTATTTTCTGTTCTTTTTCTTATTAAAAAACATCTGCTTCCACACTATACTAAGGTTGCAGTTGGGGCAGATCGAGACTTCTCCTGTAAGTAGATATCTGCGGCAAGCTGAGGATAAGAATAAAGACTTGTAGGATCATAAGAATACAGAGTATAATAAGGACAGAGAGAACCAAACGGATAGAAAGGATAATAAGGTCAATAAGGACAATAGGGACATGCGTGTTTCTCGTGCAAAGTCAATCAGTAGTTAGTATCCGTTTTGCCCTTATTATCCGTCCGGATCTCACTATCCTTCTTCTCCTCTCCATTCGTGTTACGGCATGAGTCATGAGCAGAAGGAAATCTTGACTTTTCTTCCTTGCGGCAAACACAAACTCGCCACACTGTCTCGACTCCAGGCTTTTGACAGAATAAGTACTAGTTTCGCATTTGGCTCTTGTCAAGTGATTATTTTACATTTTTTCTTCGCTTAGCAGTTCCATAAATTTCCCGTGGCGTTTTTAAATATAAATGACGTGCTCCATGCTTACAAAAGTCCAAGCAACTTATATTTAAACTCCGAAACAATCTCAATTATCACAAAATTATGACGACATCAGTAAACGAAGAACGAATAATTCATCAATATAATTCAGATTCTACAACATGCGATCTATTCAAACAAATGGAACCTGAATTCCATCGTTACTGTACAATGGGCGAATGGCGTCATAATCATCAGTTACCGTCGTTTGAAATCTCACGGGAATATATTCAAACAAAAATCTATCCAAAACTGCAGCAACAATCAGAGAAATTAGCACAACAATTAGCAATTTCTACAATTCGTCGTGTAAAAACTGAAGAACGTTGGGCATGTCAACAAAATCGTTTGACCTTATCACGATGTTTTGTTGAACTATTTTTTAGTCGTCAAATACGTCGTGGACCAATACCAGTTGAAGAAGATCAAATTAAATTACGTGAAAAAGTAATTACAAATGGCATAAAAAGTGGTCTACAATTTTCAATATTAATGCTACCTAATCGGGATGAAAATTTGGCTAAAAATGATGGTCATCTTCCAGATTTAGGTGAAATATTGTCGCTTGTTAAATTATGGTCAATTGTTCGTGCCATGTTTCTTATTAAAGATTATTTTATTCAACAAATACTAGTCAAATTATTTAGGAAAATATTTGAAAAAAGTAAAATTGAAACAATTTATGATATAGAACGATTACTAGGAGAAATGTTAACACTGAGAACATCACCGATCATATCAGTGGACGATGAATTTGATATAATAAATTATTTAATTATAAAATTATTATCAAATAGAAAATATTCGAAATACACCACCAATCTTCGACAAATGTATGATGAATTAATGCCATATGAAATTAAAAAAATTGAAAAAGTTGAACTTTTAATTATTGAATTAGTTAAACATCAGATAACATTGAAATGGTTATTTGAAACAGTTCAACAATTGCTTTCCATTGAACAAAATTCAATTGAAATTATTGTTGTACAAGATGCTCATCGTTATACTTGTTATGATACAGATAATAGACAACATATTTATGAATATACTCAAGCTTTAAATCAAATTGTTCAACAAATGAATCTTCAGCAATATATTAAATTAATTTCACACAATCAATTGGAGAAAGATAGTGAAGAGAATAAAATATTTCAAATTCAACGTCAACAACTCTATGATGAACAATATTTTAAATTGATAAAACCATTTATAGAATCAAAATCATCCGTTCTTCAAGCAAGTATATCCCGTGATAAATTTCGAGCAAAAATCGAAGAATTATCATTGAATGAAAATATTGTTGAATTGATTGAACCAGTTTTACACGGTCGTTTACATCCAGAATTAATTGACGCACATTTATCACCTATTCAAGAATTAAAATTTTTAGCACAAATTTATGAAGTTTCTCAAGATAATGATACAGAAAAACTTCGACAAGAAGTTTTATTTTCATCTTTGATAAATGCTATTAAATATATTTGTTCATATGAAACACAAACATCAACAAAAAATTATTTAAATTTAGATGATATTGAATTTCTTTTACCAAAATCTATTCGATTAAGTATACATAATAAACCATTTCATCAAACACGAGTACAATTTTTAATCAAAACTAGTTCCAATTTACATCGACAGCCATGGCATGGTACGGTAACATTGAGACGAAGTCAAAAAAAACATTTTGTATTTGATATACAATTAAGTTTACTATATAAACTCAACAAGTATATTCCAGTTTTTGTCACTTCCTCTTTATCCACAACTGATGATTATTTTTCAAAACTAGCGAAAAATATTCAACCAATTATGTGGGTGCATCCTGATCTTATTAAAGATTATGATCAACAATTTAATGGTGAAATGTTGTTAAGCAAACTGTTATTCGACGATGATCATGTAAATAACCTTAGAATTTAAGAAAGTTTTCTGTCAAACATTTTGCTCTCCTAACGATCATGGTGCAGAAACTCTTATAATCTTGCGAGGAAAGGTCCCTAACTGATAAATCGCTTTTGAGTCAAACTCTAGTGGATTATAGGTTATTGGCCATGCTGATTCCGAATATGATCATGGAGGTTTCCCATAGCCCCTCTAAGATCCGGTCTTCGAAGGGCTATGGGGAACCTCCATGATCATATTCGGAATCAGCATGATCGATAACCTACAATCCACCAGATTTCGACTCAAAAGTGATTTATCAGTTAGGGACGGACCTTTCCTCGTTAGTGAAAAAATAATAAGTACCGGAGAGAATGAAATAGAGCGGAGATACTGTACATGTGTATGAATAAGATAGAAAATATTGACTGAGATAGAAATTATTATACTTTTTCAAGAGAGAAGGTGCTTTTATGAGAGAAAATTAATTTTCTAGTAGAAATAGCACTGTCGGACTGAAATCAATTGTTTAAAGGTATATTATCTTACTTGGAATCTCTTTCAAAAATTCCTTCAGTCCCGTTTATATTTTCGAGTTATAATGAGTCTAGCAATCCATTGTTTAGGTAAAAAACGTCGAAGGCTGGCAGATGGTGTGCGTTTTAACTCCATGTTACGCAGGGTGTCCCAACAAAACGTTTATCCATTTTTGTAATGATCTTTCTATAGCCGTATACTTCAATTTTTATCCGATTCTTTTTGCGATAGAAAGAGCTGGAAAAAAGCTACTCAGTGGAACTGTTTATATTTTTGAAAAGATTCCACCATAAGCAGAGGCTAAAAAAGATTTATCAAATATGAAATCTATGTTGGAACGGCACATCTGCACCAGAAAATAAAAAAGGAGCTGTAAGATAGCCGCTGTTGGCTTGAAATTTCTTGTGATTTTCGGGTTTCTAGTATTTTGTTAATGAAAAAAAGAATTTTCGAATAATTCTTGGTTATCTTTTAAAATTTTTTTTATTTTCACACAATCTTCTAAGCTAATTTAGAATAATTTTATTTCTTATTAAGAAAGCAAACTGTATTAATCATACACATGTTGTACAGTATCTCCGCTCTATTTCATTCTCTCCGGTACTCTTCGTGTTATAAGTAGAACATTTATTTTCTTATTTTGAAAGGTGGATAAGGTGCCGGTAATTCACAAGTAAAAGAAGTATTTTTTTTTTTGGCATGTTTGGCTAGCGCTCATCACGTTACAATAGAACATATCAATTTTAGTCTTTACAAAACGATTTTCCTGTGAAATATTTTTTTGAAACATTTCGCTTTTTCTTTTACGGAATAATTCACTGGAAAATTGTCAAAAAATTTTGAAATACTCGTTCGACTCAATTTTGACGACGATTCCGTATATCACCTTAGCTCTGCAAAAACTTTGAATTTTGATAGTAAAAGTTGCAAAAGACGACTGTATTTCCTTGGTTTTTGTGGTTGATTCCGGAAAAATTACTCTACTCTTCTTCTAGTAATTAGAATGAAATAGGAAAGAACGCTTAGTCTTCCAGCTAAGAGAGCTAGATGAGTTTACAAGATGTGCAGTAGTGGGTTCTACTCATCTTCCAAGAATTTTCTGTTCATTTAAAATTTAAATTCGATCAGATTTGATTTTTATATTCAGTTTTCATGGAGAATAAGAACGAATTAGTTTCTGAATTTTTGAAAAAAGGAAAAAACTGAAAATTTTGTCAATTTTGTGAAAAAAACTGTCAATTTTGTCCCATGGCTAATTCAGATCTTCGTTACTAACGGAAGACATTACACAATCAGTGAGGATATCTTGTGATAAAATCAAGACAAAACACAGTTGCTTTATACTGATGCATATTGTTTTTCTTCAAAAGTTTCCGTTTTTGTCATTGCTCTTTCACAAAACTAGACAGAATGTACTTTGTGTCAACTAAAACACAGAAAAGAAAGAAAAAAAACTAATGACAATATGTTGAAAAACAGATGTTGACCTTGAGAACTGCTTGCATTTTAAAATAAATCTTATAAATTTGTAGAAGAACACTCAATGAATTCAGAAGATACGCCATGTTATTGATAAAGACATCATCTAGATCGTGAAAAATACTGGATAAATATAAGGCGCCCGTAATTCAAAGTTCATACGCTATTTTATATTCGATCGAACCACACATCTGTATATGAAACTCGACTTAAATTTAATTATATTGTGAACGAGCTTGACTAGTAAGAGGATGGGTGACCACTTCTGAAGATTAAACTATGCATTATTATGGAGTTTGTCACTATAAAGTAGAGAATTGTGACGTATTGTCTTTCTCTATTGTGTCAAAACTACGATTATGAACTTTGAATTACGAGCGCCTTATATTTATCCAGTATTTTTCACGATCTAGATGATGTCTTTATCAATAACATGGCGTATCTTCTGAATTCATTGAATGTTCTTCTACAAATTTATAAGATTTATTTTAAAATGCAAGCAGTTCTCAAGGTCGACATCTGTTTTTCAACATATTGTCATTAGTTTTTTTTTCTTTCTTTTCTGTGTTTTAGTTGACACAAAGTACATTCTGTCTAGTTTTGTGAAAGAGCAATGACAAAAACGCAAACTTTTGAAGAAAAAACAATATGCATCAGTATAAAGCAACTGTGTTTTGTCTTGATTTTATC